GAGGGTTACAAACAATAGCTGTGCTGCTAGCCAAGGTCCCTGCAGGTTTGTCTAGCTGTTCTTTTACACGGAATACGATGGATGAGCTTGTAAGATTTGATTAGAGTAGGGAGTTTGTCTTTATACTATCTGGTAGTTTGAAACGCAATTGTATTTTTAATTGCTAGTGTTAGAATGGAGATCTTAGTTGTATATGAAGTTGAAAAGCTCCTTTTTGCTGGTCCTCCTTTATTGTTCCCTTAGGATTGTGATGGGTAGTTCATAATTATCTTTCAATTTCAACAGTCCTTTTGTGGTTGGCTATTTCTTTGTTTCAACCATATGGCACTAGCTCAGGCTTCCTTTGCTCCCACTATTCTTTCCCTTGTGGTTACAAGGAGTTTTTTGAGTAGAGATGACTGGACTTCACTGTGTAGTGATGGAAGATTATAAAATTGTTATACAGTAATTTTCAAGAACTCTGAACGAGTTCTTTCACTTGAGTTAATTGATTTGTTCATCGCTAGTTTTGTGGATAAGTCCATTAGCAGGTGCAAATCTTTTGTGCGTTTCCCTTCCCCCCACCAACTCCTGTCAGCTTTCACTGAATCTCATAATTCTCTGATTCAGTTGCTGTCCTCACCCAGTGTGTTACTTCTAGACCGTTGTATTGTATGTTGCTGCTGTGTAAATGTGCAATGTTTTGTATAATGTATGTGAATGCACACATGTAGAATACGGTGTTTTGGTTGGGTAACTTTGTTTAGCAAATAGGTTTGTACATGTTGAATTGTTCTGTTTCTGCAATTTATATTTTGATGCTGGATCGCTTTCACTTGCCTTATGTCCTAATTGTTTCATTATTTGTCATATTTAAACTTCAAAATACATGACAAACATGAATGTTTGATCTATAGCAATATCAATGGAATAATGTGTAGACAGTGATAAGACTGAAATTTTTAGAATTCGTTATTCAATGAAAAACTACATCAATTACGTTAATTGTGTGAGAGATGAATATTTTTCTAATGCTATGGTGCTGTTGAATTTCCGATAGGCGCGCGATAGCTTTGCTTTATGAGCATGCACACAATAGATGTATTGTTGAGAGTATTATGGAAGTGGATTGAGGCAAGTATTATTTAAAAACAAGGAGCTGCACACTAATGGTATGCACTTTGTTAAAGGAAGGATGTGCATAAAGATCTTCTGGAAATAGTTATAAATTGAATTTCATTTGCAAATTACTTTATTTTTGTGTTTAGGGATGAGTTGTTGTGAAATTGTAACAGCCTCCCTTTCCTCCAATCCCAGTTTCTCTCCACTTCTTCAAAGATATTGACTGATGCCAAGCTCCTATTCAATGAAAATTGATACCCTTGTCCAAAAAATTGTGTATAAACTTTGGTTGAATATTGACAGGTAGTTCAATCAAGAGTACATGTGCTGAATTCTGCTGAATTAAATGCTTATAAATTCATACATTCGGAAATGTCTACCTGTGTGGTGATCAAAGATAGCAGTACTAATTCAATCCAGTTTCCTTCCTTCTCTGTCCAAGCCAAACAGAACACATTATAATTCTAGTGCCTCTACACAGTTGTTCCTTTGATGAAATAGGACAGCAAAGACCTTTTATTGAACTTGTGACCTTTCACTTTGTATTACTGAGTTCCCAACCATGGTGAACTTGAACTCAAAAATTAGATGTGCCAATTTATGTTCTTTGAGGTTGCATCATATTAGGTATTGTTTCCTTTGCTTTGTTTTACCCCCTCCTAAGCACAACATGTACCATTTCACTGTTTTAAAAGTGGCAGGTTACTGCCTTCCAGGATTCTGCCAGTTTCACTCCAGAGATAGTAGCTGAGTTGTTTTTGAGAGTGATCCAGAATAACAACTAGTGAACTGGCTAGATTTTGTTGGTGGTCAGTCTTGTATTGAAAGAATTGGAACGTCTGTATGTTTGCACCTAAGTAGTTTTATTTTAACATTTCTTATCGTTGTATATTTGTATTTGAGGAGAGTTGGCCTTGTATGTGCCAATAATTAGAGAAGCTCATATTGGAATAGAAAGCTTTGGGGCATGTTTCAAAAGAAGAGACAACTCATTTGGGGCTGACTGCTTTTGTTGTTCACATTCTGAAAATAAAGATTCGCTTTCAGGCGAACAACACGTTGGTGCTCCTAACAGCAGGCTTTGCCAAGTATTACTGTATATCAGCTATGTGATCAGCTTCTTTTATTTTAAAACTAATGATATTGCATAGCCGGATGTTATATTTCAAATATGTCCTTGTAACTATTCCACTTCCCATCTCACTTGTGTTTGTGCCTGTTATTCATTGCCTGGTACTAATTTTTAAGACTGTCCATAATGTACTGTCATTCTAAAGCAATTTCGAGTAAGTTATGCAATACATGTGGATTCAGTTTAGGTACCATCTGTGTGCACGTCCTTCATCGAAGTGGAAATTTTATAACTGTAATCTTTAAACAGCACGAAGCTATCCGCCTATGGAGAATCAGTTTCATAACATTGTTGCTAAGATCTTTAACTGCATTTGTTGCTGGTACTTGGGAAAAGTTACCATAATAATGGATTCGTAACAAAAGTCAGAGCATGTGAAGAATGGGACAAGTAACAAAACGTATGTTACAAGACAGAAAACAGAACATCACAGTTAGAGGTAGCTGCTCAGACCAGTAAAATGTGGGAAGAGGTGTTCCACTGGGATTAATTTTGGGTCAATCATTGTTAACGAGTAGTGAATTGGATCAGGAATCAGATGTATAACTTCAAAATTTGTGCTGGGGTTAATCATTCTTTCTTTTTCACAGTACCAAATAAATTGTGAGAGACATTAATTAACCTGCAAAATGTTTGTGATAGCAACTAAATATATTGTGAGGGCATGGACTTTTGTGGAAAGATTAGGAGATCATGAACTTCCAATAAGAGGCCTAAATGGGGGCAGTTATGCAGAAGAATCCTGAAATAAATATGCACACATTTGTAAAAGTAATGTCACAGATTTAACAACTCAAACCAAGCAGTAGGGTTTATTTGTAGCTCAAGAGATGGTATTGCAGAGTAGTTGTGTTAAAACTATATGAACCTTGGCTGGAAGACAATTGTCAGTATGATGCGTGGAAATTCAAAGTATTTTCACTTGTTGAGGAGTCCAAAGTAAATGTAAATGTAAGTTGGTAATTCATAAATCATCTTTACCCTGAACGTAGTTAGAATGTGAAACTTGCTTCCATAAAGTGTATTTGGGAGAAATAACCAAAGGAAAAGGAAGTTAGATAAACATAGGAGGGAGAAAGAAATAGTGATAGCATAGGATTAGATGAAAAGTTATGAGAAGCGACTTATGTGAGACATTAACGCGGGAATATACCAATTGTACTGAGTGTCCTCTTTCTGTGTTGTAAACTGTATCTGTATGCATTCTGATATACCTTCCTTGCTGGTCTCTTGTCCCTCATTCCATTAATTTTAGCTAATCCAAAACTCCACTGCCTATTTTTAGTCCCACACCAAGTATCATTCATATGTTACCCCATCCTCACAGACCTATATTGAAAAAGGTTCCCCCATACCTTAAATTTAAAATTGCTGTCCTTCCAAGGCCTGCCTTTGCACACCTAATCCTGTATAACACACTATTCTTTAAGGTTGTCTTTAAACCTTATCAGTTAATGTAATAGGTTCTTCTTTGGTTATGGCGTTTTATTTTTCAGGAAATTATGTCTGTGAAGGTTTTTTGAAGATGGTAGATAAATATAATTTAAGTCGTCAACAGATATGTATGTATAACCTATAAAGAATTATTGCATTCCAAACAAAAATAGGACTTTCTGACTTTAATTAAATTCACCTTAGCGCATGAGTGCCAAGGTAGCTTGCTTTCTCACCACAACTGAGATCAGCTAAAGCAGCGAAGATCAGGAAGTAAAGCCAGAAATTTTGGTTTGTGGTTTTGTACCTGCTTGCCTATTGAGACAATAAGGACGAAAGATCAAGATAAACTTTGAATTAACTTGGTAGGTTTAGGGTGTAGGTTTTTTCATCAGTGTATTTTTAAAAAAAAGGTCCTTTCTGGAGGCTCTCATCACTTAGATCTTAGCCTGTCCACTGAGCGGTTGTTAGATAAATGAATAGTCTTGGCACGAATGGATTAGATGCTGAGAAGCATTTAAGGGAGAGCACAGGTACTGGTTTTGTTGTACAGAGCGAGAGCATTGCTGGTAAATATATATTCGTCAAAACCTTTTCATCTTGCACTGGGAAATATTGCAAAAATACAAATTCAAAAGGAAAATACAACAATTTATGTTGTATGACAAGAGTACTGATTGGTTGACAAGTTACTCTCCTCAGTATATCAACAGCATAAATACTGATTTTTGCCTTGAATTTGTAATCTTGCAAAATGTGCTGATGAATGAAAGACAAAAAGCTTCAGCAAAATCTCTCTTTGCAGCAGTGTGAAAAACATAGCTTCAACTTTTTTGTGTGACTTTTCATAAAGTGAAACTAATTCCTTTTGTTTGCCTGTTTATAAGATCACCAGATAACATGAATAAGACCATTTGGTCTTAACTAGTTCAAACACCATTAAATCTAGTGCACTGTTTCATTGCTTTATGCTGGGTGTTGGACCAGTTACTTATAAGCAGTGAAAGCTAGAACATCAGGCACAGTGCAGAATGGGCTACTAATTCACAGCCACTTTTCAAAATATAAATACTTGTACCTTACTGCACCTTACTACCTGACTTGCAGAATTGCCTAATTATACTGCTATATCTTATGGTCTTGTGGTCATCCAAGTCCTTTGTAGAGCACCATATGAATGAAGTATTGGCTCTTTTGTCTTCTCTACTTTCTCTTCTGTTTGATAGGCATTCTTCAAGCAAGTCCTAAAAGCAGATAAAATAAACTAACGTGAATGAAGTGTTTTACCTTTCTAAAATGCTGATTCTATCTGTTCTGTTTTCTTTTGTTTCAGAAAAAAGTCGTTGAACAGTTGAGAAAAGATTTGATGGTGAAACAGGAACATCATGAAGGCAGATTGCCAATGCAACAACAGCAGGTACCACCACAGCATCAACAGCAGACTGTATCACAGCATCTACCACAGCTGACCAGTCCACAGGTAATAGCATTACAGCGCATTTCAGTATACAAGCAAGTCTACTGGCTCATCAAGTTTGCATTATATTTTTATTATTTAACTTTAACTTATTGTCTTTTTCATTATTATCTATGAAACTGCCTATTGAACCTGTAACTTGTTACACCTCTTGGATAGCAATATCTGCTGTGGCCTGTTGGATAATCCCAGTGTTCAGCTTGACAATTGTCAGCTTTTCTGATCATTTAAACCATGCACAAGACTATTTTGTGTAAGTTTAGCCCATTTGTGTTAATTGTTAAACTTAGCACCCATTTCAACTTCATTGCAATTCTGTCCTCTCCAAAAGTGCCTTGGACTTCCATTGACGTCGGTTTATTTGTATAGTAATTTGTATGGTGAGAATCCTGTGGATTGTTGGGATATCTTTTGGTATGCACATTAAAATAATGTTTTATCTCTGTCCTTAGACATTTTAACTCAGCTTACTAAAGCATCTGAACTGTACCTTTAATCCTGATTGTAGTCTATTAACCTGAAATGCATATGAAATGGATAAAAGATATTTAATTGTGTCTCTTGTCAAAATGTGTGGACACCATGTCAAACAGAAGCTTTTTGGGTACCCAGGCATATTATATCAATGTATATACCACAAGAACACTGAACAAGTGTTGGTGCACTTAGATTTGTAACTTTGTGATAAACTACCCTTACCCTGATGCATTAAGCTTGGAACCTATGGTATCTGCGTCCACTTTTTTCTTTTGCAGTGTTCATTATTAATGGGCAGAAATAGTAGTACTGCCTTTTTACACGTAGGTTGACATTGATCATGGGTCTTAACAAATTGTGCCTTGTCTTTCAAGACACTAAGCGAAATGAATTGGTTCCTTTTACATTTTACCCCTTAATGTTCTGCAAATAACTTGAATGACTTTTAGTAAGCCTGACTGGTATATTTGCAATACTGATCTGTTAACTCCTTAATTTGTTTCCATGTTTAGAGGCATCTGTGATGTCTGTTTATAGCTGTACGGTCATATTCCTGGTTTCTTGTTTCTGTTGCACACCATGCAGATTCATATCTTATAAGGAGGTTTGGCATTTTTGGTTGTACCTGGATCAATGGCTGGTGAAATTGTTTATGCTCTGTCAATAGCCATGTGTGTATTCCTGTGGTTGTGGCTGACTGTTGGGAAGAATCCAATCATCCCCTCAATCATTAAACACATGACTTATGTATGTGATGGTTAAGAGTATTATGCAATTGTGTGTACACCTACGATAGTCAAGCATCAATGTTCTTGGAGATTTTGAATAATTTTCAGAAATGTTTCCCTTTGAAGTGTCATCTAGTTCTATGGCTAATTCTATGATCTTTCACCTTCATTTCCTACACATTTTTAATACTTCAGGCATTAAGTCTTGAGCATTAAGCATAGTACAGGTTACAGTATTGTCCATCAAACGTTTGAGCAAAGCAGCATTTTTAAACATTTGTTCATGAGCTACGTGTCCTGAACCATAACTGGTAACTGCATATTTTTAATTTAACTGTTTTCCTGTTTCATTTGCTTTCAACACTTACCCAATAATAGTATGTTTCATTGTAATACCTACTTCCACTGCATCATAACTTTCATTTGGTCTAGTCTGAGTGCGCAACAAGTTTAACTGTCCAGTCAAACTTCTAAACTAGCCTGTTTCTTCATTGGATCCAAAATCACATTTCCCAGTTTATTGGGATGCTGTTAATAATTTCCAAGTAAGATTGTTAATCCAAAGCCACTCCTGCCTTCATGTTTAACTCTAAATATTTGAAGGCCCCCAAAGTCTGTCTGACTTCCAATATTAAATTCCGTTTTTATTTTGTCTATTACACATTGATCAAAAGCCACTGAATCTCCCCACAGAAAATCATTATGTATCATAAAGGTGCCTCCCAGACTGTCGCTCTCGCTCTCTGCGTCTCTGAGCCAGTGGAACTTTGCTTGGTCTACTTTAAGGTGAATGCAGCCTACTATTACTGCCGTGGTCCTAATTGAGAATTACCATTCTCACTGCATAATTCAACCTATAAACAAACTTTTTAATTTCCATAACTTTATATCTTTATTAATTTAGGTTTCAAAAATACTTCCTTTTGAAATTTTTTCACCCCATAAAAATCAATTGACTAGATTCCCAAGAGCTAGGATTTTCAAGATCGCTTTCACTGTGATAGGTGAGTCCACTGTAACGTCTTGATCACTAAGTTTCTCTTAAAATCCCAACTTACTAGCCTGCTTTAGCCTTTTATTTCCCACCAGGGAACACTTTTTCAGTATGAGGTTGGCTGATCCCAATCTGGTATTTCAATGTATACACCAAATTCTTTCCAGCTGTCCAACTCATTTCAGGTTGCCAAATTAACTTATCTTTTAACTTTTTTTTGTACCCACTAAAACTTCTCGATCATATGAGTTTCTACATCTTGTATTCTCAATCTGCTCCACAGCCCTATTTTTGTAAAGCTACTATTTCTGCCCACCTTGTTCACCTCCCTATCTCCTCCTGGACTACTGCAAACTCCTATGATCTGAATTCTTTTGTAAGCTTGCAGTTATTTCTAGGGCCATGACAGCTTACAGAACTCTTAGTCCATTATCCGGCCTTGTACACCTTTACGATCTATCATTGTAGACTCATTAAATCTAGTTGCAATGTTTATAAAGTGCACAACAAAAGTGTTTTTATTCCCCCATCCCATTTCTTTAAGTCCATTGCTACAGCTGCGTTAAAGTCTCTTGCAAATGGGTGACTCACTATGAACTATGATGATGCTTCTGATATCTTTATATCATGTTTATTGCTGACCTAATCTATGTATTTACTCATTATCACTTACCCCTGCATCAATTGGTCAGATTTTTAATCTGATAAGGTAATGGACAAATTGACAATGTAGATTTAAGATAAGTAGCCTTTTCTCCTTTAAACTCCTAATGCCAATAACAGCTCAATATTTCAATTAGAGAACTTATGTCTTGTTAAAGGAATATAGTAATATCAGATTGTGTAAACTCTAAATCCACTGACTTCCCAAAACAGTTCTGTGTTCTGAGGAAGGGTCACTAGACCCAAAATGTTACTTCTGATTTCTGTCCACGGGTGTTGGCAGATTTGCTGAGCTTTTCCAGCAATTTCTGTCTTTGTTCCCAAAACAATTGCCTTGTCTATTTTTTCACAAGTAGGAACACTTTCTCCCTATCTCTTCTTTCCAGAACCCTCATGCTTTTGAACATCTCTGTTAAATCATCTCTCAGCCACCTTTTCTCCTAGGAAAACAATTCTAACTTCTCTAGTCAGTCTTCATAAATGAAATTCCCCAACTCTGGAATCACAAACCCCTGGAGCCATGAATCGTCTGTTTTCTCTCTAATGCCTTTGCTTCCAGTCTAAAGTGCTGTGCTAGAACTGGACGCAGTGTTTCAACTGAGGTCAAACTAGTGTCTTAAACAAGTTCAACATAAACTCCTTGTTCTTGCAGTCTATAAGTTTAATAAAAATTAGTACGTATACTGCTTTAACCCTCTCTCACTCTGTCCTGCCATGTTCAATGACTTGTGTCCATATACACCAAGGTCCTTTGTTCCTGCGCTGTCTTTAGAATTGTACCCTTCACTATCCTTCCTTCTAAATTTAATCACTTCTTACATCTCCTCATTGAATTTCATCTGCCACTTCTCTGCATAGTCCTTGTCTATGTCTGTTATTTACTCTTCAAAGTTTGTAATTCTTTCAAGTTTCATGTAATTCACAGACTTTGAAATTTTGCTCTGTACATCAATGTCCAATATCACTAATGTATACATGAGGAAAACAAGGGTCCCAGACTGATAACCGGAGAACTCCACTCCATATATTTTCTAGCTCAAAAAATATCCATGCTGCTGCTGTTATTTTAATCCACGAGCTACTATTTTACTTTCTGAAGGCTGCTGTGTGACACTTTCAAATGACTAACACCACATAAACAGCTCCGTTATCATCAACCGTACCATGGGCCAAGTGCAGGAAAATGGAATTAGAATAGTTAGGTGGTTAGGGCCTTTTCCTGTGCAGTAGATCTCTGTGACTCTATGCTTAACTATCTCTGCTACCTCTTGGAAAAAGCTCCAATTAATTTGTTAAACCGTATTTTCTTTTCTTGAAATCCCTGCTTTTCCTAACCTGCATATGTCCATGTGGCATTGATTTTTGTCCCAAATTATTGTTTCCAGAAGCTTGTCCACCACCAAAGTTAAACTAATTGCAGGCTTAGTTTTCAACTTTTATGTTTGGACAAGGGTGCAATGTCTGCATTCTCAAATCCTCTGGAACCACTCCAAGTCTAAGAACGAAAGGAAAAAAAAATATGGCTACTGCTATTGTAGCTTCCACTGTCATATCTGTCAGGTTCCTTGGTTGCATCTCATCCAGGCCTGGTACCTTCACAACTTTGAGTGCAGATAGCCTATCCATTGCCACCATCATATCAATTATAAACCCTCTACTGTCTGCATTGCCACCTCTTTTACTGCCTGGATAACACCATCTTTCATGCAGTCATACAGCATGAAAACAGGCCCTTCAGTCCAACTCGTTCATGCCAACCAGGTTTCCTAAACTGAACCAGACCCGTTCTTGGTAATGACAGTTGCTAAATATTCACTCAAGTCATCTATGCCGCCTTTCAGCCCTTTCCGGTCCCTAATTCGTGCTACTCTTCCTAATATGCCTTTCGAAAACTTATGGGATTCCCTTTTGGTTGCCAGTCAATTTCTCTTTGCCCCTCTGATTTGCCTTTTCACCTCCCCTCTAAATTTTTTCTCTTCAGCTCAATTCTCTAAGGATTGGACTAAGGATGAGCAATAAATGCTGGCACAACTAGCAGAGTTTGCATCCACTGAAAGAATGGAAAGAAGTAACATCTCGCAAGGAGCCCTTAACTTTGTTTGCCCTACCTTTCTCTGTCAAGGCAATATACTTTGATTCTG